CCTTTTCTTCTGAGTTTGTCTACCTATTTTTCTCCTTGTTCCAAGCTTTGTATTCCCTTTCTCTTCATTTTTTCAGGCCTGAGGGCCTTCTTGAGTATTTCTTATAGTGGGGATCTCATGGCCATGAACTCCCTTAGCTTTTGTTTATCTGGGAGAGTTACTATTTCTCCATCATATTTGAAGGACATTTTTGCTGGATAGGGTATTCTTGGCTGAAACTTTTTGTCTTTCAGTATTTTGAATATATCATTACAGTCTTTCCTAGCCTGTAAAGTTTCTGTTGAGAAATCCGCTGAGAGCCTGAGGGGAGTTCCTTTGTATGTTATTTTTTGTTTTTGTCTAGCTGCCCTTAATATTGTCTCTTTGTCATTGACTCTGGCTAGCCTTACCACTAGGTGTCATGGAGTGGGCCTTTGCCTGTTGACTTTAGGTGATCTGTTGGCTTCGCTTACTGGTATTTCCTGCTCCTTCTCCAGGTTTGGGAAGTTCTCAGCTATTATTTCCTTGAATAGGCTCTCGGTTCCTCTTTCCCTCTCTTCTCCCTAAGGAATACCTATAATTCTTATGTTACATTTCCTAATAGAGTCAGATATTTCTCGGACACTTTCTTCATTTCTTTATAGTCTTAGTTTTCTACTCTTCCATCTGGAGATTATCTGTATTCCTATCCTCTAAAATGCTAATTCTTTCCTCCATATTGTCAGCTCTGTTCTTTAAAGATTCCAGATTCTCCTTTATCTCCTCCATTGTGTTCTTCATCTCCATCAGCACTGATTGGTTTTTCTTTATGATTTCAATCTCTTTTGTGAAGAAACTCCTAATCTCATTGAATTGTTTTTCTGTGTTGTCTCATATTTCATTGAGTGTTTTTATGATAGCTATTTCGAAATCTCTTTCATTTAGGTTATGGATTTCTGTGTCTTCAGGGTTGGTTTCTGGGTTCTTGTCATTTTCCTTCTGGTCTGGGGATTTCATGTATCTTTGAGTTGTGGTTCCTGGATTGGCTTTGTTTTTCCTCATCCTGGAAATCTCTGGTTGCAATTTCCACCTGCCACCACTGTGTAGGGATAAAGGGCTGTGTAATCTGAGCCCCTTGTGCTCTGTCGAGGCTTTTCACTGTGATCCAGCAGTCGTTTGGTCTGGTCTGGTCGGCTGAGCTACAGGGTCTGTTTTGCGCGGGGAGGGGCTCTCTCTTTTGCCCACTGGGTCCCTGTCTTGGGGGGCTTCTCGTTCACCCCTTGTTATCTGCTCTCCTGGGGTGCTCCGATGTTGATGGTACCCTGTAGCAGTTCTGAGTCCTCTGTGTGGGAGTTTCCCACTGGCTGAGAGAGCCTGAAGAGCTACAGTTTCCCCACAGAGGGCTGCCCCTTCCCCCCCTCTGGGAGCCCCCCAGACAGGCATGACGGATCTGATGGGGAGGGAGAGGAGTTCTCCTTACCTCTTCTCACTTCCTCCAGTAGCCCAGCATGTTCCACTCTCAGATGTGCGGCAGTGAACATCTTTCCGATCTTGCTTTTCACTGTCTAGGATTCCCTTGTTGGTCTGTGACTGTTCCTTTTGTTGTGTGTTATTGTGGGAAGAGTTTACAGGAAAGTTCATTGGGCCATGACGCTGATGTCACTCTTCTAAAATTTTTTAATAGAAGATAAGTCAAACAACTTAACACAATAAGAATCGGATTAAATATTTCAGAAAAAGTATATTTTGTGGAAGGAAATGGAGTGTGAAGTCCAGGGCCAGCTCAATTATTTGCAATAAGGAGACTTCAATGCATGAGTTGGTTACACAAGTGATGGGTTGGCTGGGAAGCCAAACAGTGCAATGCGAGTTAACCAGATATTAGAAACAGCCAGGAGCCACTACTGCTGCTGGGCTAGAGAAACAAACGTAGCAAAGGACAGGGATCACCTGGTACAGGCAGGGACAGTAGTAGGCCTGCCTCTGGAGCTATAGCCAAAACAGGAGATGCCGCCATAGCTAGAAAAGCCTCCTACAGCATAGTGGAAGGTAGAAGTACCCTGGCTTCTCTTTTCTATTCATTCTAGGCTTTTTCTAGTGTGTCCCATTTGAGAGCCAGTTGATATGGGAGCCTGTGCAGAGCAGCCTTCAGGTGCCAACCCCCCTGTAATACAGAACAGACTTAGAAAGGCACAATGGATGGATCTGAGGGCAAACAAACCTCCAGCACAACTAGCAAATATTTTTAACCCTTTGGGCACTAAAGCTAAAAGAACAGTTTACAGAAGGAGGAATATGAGAGAATCTATACATCAGCTGTTTCTAATGTTTACTATCACGTCCTTCATCAGAAATGTTTTTGGATGGGCCACCCCAATACAAAGGAACATTTTTATTTTCAAATTATATACATGAATTATTCTATACACATATTCATATCCTCAGTAAAATATAAGCTGTGCCCCAGGGGATCACTTCACAGAAAACAGGAAATGCACCATCATAAAAGAGTTCATGAATTTGCAATACTCTCTCTCCTTTTATACTAGAGAACAGAGTTCACTTCCTCCCCATCATTTCCTAGTTCCCCAAAGTCTACAGACCAGGTCTTAGGTCTTCAATAATTGTGCATTAACTTCATGCATGTATCTACAGGTATATGCGTGTCTGCACACATATGTACAAAACAGAGGTTCACTAACATAAAAATTTAGTGAATTAATTTAAAAAACAAACCTATGAAGAAAGTATCAAAATAATATTGACACTTTTAATAGCATATTTGATAGAAAGTAGATGAATAACCTTAATGGGCTTTGCAAAGTTCATTAGGAGTAGAAGTGAAGGATGTTCTCACTGCTTGGAATTTTAATTGCCCTCTCTTGTGTTATTCCATAACAGATAACAGAGATATCTATTATGGTAACATAAAGGTATGTGACATGGATCCCTTTACAGCAAAATGCATGTGTACATGCACATGTGTGTGTTTAGAAGGTGTTATACAATTGACCATCTTCCAGTAGAAACAGACACACAAGCCTCTGAGGCTCTTCTCTCTCCAGAGACCTGCCTCCCTCTCTAATATGGTGATGGGAAGTTGCCTGGGAAGGAGAACCGCAGAGATGTGTACTGAGTAAACAAGCTAAACACATCCATCTGAAGAGAGTGTGAGCCAAGAGATTACAGAAGGGAGTGAGTTTACAAGTTATCCACACGTGGTTTCTCCACTGCCTATCCTGGAGTTGTGATTGTGATTGGATTTTCCACCAAATCTACCAACAGCCTCTGAGGCTGGATTGCCCTTCTTCCTACAAGGCAGGCTTTTCTTTGTCATAGGATGGACCAAAAAAGGTAAATTTATTTTAAAAGTGGAGGAAATCCAGAGCTGCTCTCCTTTAGCAGTGGACAGAAGCAGTTTTTCAAATGTGTAACCCAACATTTACTATCTTCTTTGTCATGTCTTTTTCTTTGCAGACTCAAATCCCCTATCTTCATCTTGATTAATAGGAATGTGAAGGAGGGAGAGAGCAGTGTCACTGTGGAGTCTCCTTGGAAAATATCATTTTTGGAACATAAATCCACAAGAAAAGAATTGTGACATTATAGAGTTACATCAAGCAAAGTAAGGCCACTCATCTGTAATATTTCTTCCAGTAGAATCGAATCTTTGATCAGCACAGTTCTTTCTATGTTCACTGCATAGTAGAGAAAATTTATGCAGCTAAAGACAATGTGAATTCGGGTGCATCAGAGCATTCAAGGTTTTTATTTTACCACCAAAACACTTTGTCAGTTAGATAAATGCTAAACAATGTGACCTCCAATATCAGTCTCCTTCGTTTGCTATAATTCTGGAAGAAGGATTATCCTTTACACAAAATGCATAACCGGTTCATCTTGGAAAATCTCAAAATGCGATTGATTATTACCATCTATGCTGAAGAAGATAAGCCACTTACTCTCTTTAAACTGGAGCATATAATAATTGCCTGAGACTACAAGTAAGTTCTTTATTTTCTACTCAGAACATTTAAGGGAAAATCAGAAATTTTCATTGGAGTTTTTGTTTGTTTCTTTGCTTCTTTTTAAGAAAATGGTTCAGATTTGAATCCCACGGGTAAGCAATCTCCTGCAGTCATTTTGGAGACCCCAGAAATGACCATTCAGAAGTTCAAATTTTCATAACTACATGTCTTAATCTCTGCATGTTAATAGTTTAAACTACCCTGATAAATTCTACACAATTACTCTATGAAATGTCAATTGATTGTATTATTATATTAAATCATTGTATATTAAATAAAAGCATATTAAAGCATGTGGGCTGTAGGTGCCACCTGGGTAAAGAGCTTGCTTATTGGAGACGGTGAGTTAGATTTTTCTAGAGGGCAATATTTAAAAATAAAATAGACCAATTGTCAAAAAGGAAGATCACAGAAGTTTTGTTAATCCCTATCATCAGTTTAGTAGTTATTTGCTTCCTAGAAAAACAATGAATGTTAATGACAGACATATATAATTTTTCCTGGTTCAAAATTCTACTTACTCTTATTTTTTTCTATATAACCTTCTTTCTCCTACTCTTGCTCACTTGATGTATTTTTCAACTTATCTATTGTGTCCGTTGTCTATCATGTATCTATATATATAGCAATCATCTTTTTTTTAATATCTTTACTTTTTCACAGTATGCACATTGAGGGCCTATGTATTTTATTTTCAGATCGTTTGGTATATACCTCACATCTGTTCTGGTACTGATTCTAATGTCTATTCTGTGTTCATATACTTCCTTTCAATACATTTGCTGTTTTCATGACTCTGTGCATTTGTGTCTCTTCTACATAAGAAGCCAACCTACCATATATCTTACTTTGTACTATTTATCTTTGTTTCTTGTTTCTCTCTATATAATTCTGCTGTCCAAATGTTCAAGTTTTACTCAGTTTCTTATTTTTCCATTGGTTACAATATCTGATTTTCTTCCCATAGGAAAAATATAGGAATGACCAAGAAAGCTGTCTTACAATTAAGAAGCAATGAAAGGGACAAATTTGAGCAATCCAGCAGGTTTTATCCTCCTGGGCTTTTCTGACCAGCCCCAGCTAGAGATGGTTCTCCTTGTGGTCATCTCTATCATATACATTCTGACACTGATGGGAAACACAACGATCATACTGGTCTCATACTTGGACCCCAAACTCCGCACGCCCATGTATTTCTTCCTCTCTAATCTCTCCTTCCTGGACCTCTGCTTTACTACTAGTATTGTCCCACAAATGCTTTGGAACCTCAAGGGCCTTGAGAAGACCATTAGCTACACTGGTTGTGTGATCCAGCTATACATTACTTTGGGGCTGGGCTCCACAGAGTGTGTTCTCCTGACAGTTATGGCCTACGACCGCTTCAGTGCTATCTGTCGACCACTCCACTATAGTGTAATCATGCACCCAAAGCTTCTCCAACAGCTGGCAGCTGTGTCCTGGATCAGTGGTTTTGTGGGGTCCACAGTTCAGACCATCCTTGTTTTCCAGTTGCCTTCCTGCAGCCATCACAGAGTGGATGATTTTACGTGTGAGGAGCCCGCCCTGCTTAAAATTGCCTGTGGGGACACAACCTTCCTGGAAAATGAGCTGTCCATAGCTACTGTCCTCTATGTGGTTATACCTCTGGGGCTCATTTTGGTCTCCTATGGTCATATTATTAGGAGTGTGCTGAGGATAAAATCTGCCTCAGGCAGGAGAAAAGCATTTGGGACTTGTGGGTCCCACCTAATTGTTGTAGTTTTGTTCTTTGGGATGATAATTTCTGTCTACATTCAACCCAAAAGCAAGTACACACAGACTCACAGAAAATTCCTCACCCTCTTCTATACTGTAGTGACCCCTGCACTTAATCCTTTGATCTATACCTTAAGAAACAAAGAGGTTAAGTGGGCTCTAAAAAGGTTGCTGGGAAGAGACTCAAGGAGGGGAGAAAAGTAAAATATACTTATGCAATCCCTTAGAGATTGGGGACTTTAGGCGTCTTGTAATTATGGATTCTCTTTTCATTTATAAAAAACATAGCAAAGTCTACTAAACAAAAGGAGGCGTGCAATTTCCTTTCAATGACATTCTGAAGTTACACGCTCTAAATCCTTTTTATCCTCCTTTCTGGAAGTGTTATGTCTCCTTTTTTGGCTAATATGTAAAGAGTCTTTTAATAAATAAATGAATATTTGTAGATTCATGCATGTGTATATCTATCATGCTTTCGTAAATACTTGAATTATTGCTCTATTGACTAAGGACGTTTTTGACAATTATGCCATCTATGTTATCATCACAGAAGTAAATCTTCTACCTAATGGAGGAAAAGCTCAGATCTTAGCCACAGTAGTTTGAATTTGTCTGGGAATGCATCTTATTGCTCTCCAGGTCTCAGTTTCATTAGTAAAACAGGCAGTCGGTGTTCTGTCTATAGTTTACATAAAAGCATAAAGGGGAAACCCACAATTATCCAACAGTTTGCCTTATTTGGGGGATTGTTGATTGTTGTTCATTCAGTAGAGGCAGCTAGGATTAAGTATACCCAGGGATTTTTCTGACCTCTCAAACTCACAGGGGAAACCTCCTAGGGATATGAGCCATGACACTGGATATTTCACTTTATGCATCACTTGTCAGCATAGAATAGCCCTCAATCTCTTTTGATCAACGCTTTAGCTCTATACCTGGAATCTGAGACAAATATGCAAACATAATTTTAAGTTGTCATTAAATATAAATATTTAAATTTGACAAAAGTGAGCAGATTTCTTTACAAATAAAAATGTTTTGTCATTTATGAAGTATTCATTTTATTGATATTATAATTTCATAGAATTTATAGAAGAAAAACAATTGTTTTTCTTCATATTGAATATAAAGTTCTTTATTTGTTCTAGTAACATACTTAACAATTTTGGTGATTTTTTGATTTAAAGACACTGGTCTTGTTTTTCATATATACACAGTAGTTTTTTATCTATCTAATATTATAAGATTCTTATTGGCTTTCATTTTAGAGCGTGCTTAGACATACCTGCAACATGTCATAGTTTTATAAATACAGTTTTCTAAATAAATAAATGCTTTTAACAGAGATTAATGCAAAGGATCATTTTAATGAAGTTAAGTATCTCTACCTGAATATAGTAACAAGCTGATTGGGGTGATAAAAAAATTCAACCACATTAAAGAAGAAAAACTGGACCTAATCAGAAGATATTGGTAAAGTAACTTAGGTATTGTCTGTGTAAACTTTCTATTTCTCTACTTATGAGATAAAATTTGATTGACAATAATAACTATAACTGTGGTCATATGCACTTAAATTTTTCACTGATGGATTAGGAAAACCAAGTGCCTAATGAGCAATATGATTACCCAAATGATTTAAAATGTTACAATTTCAAACAGACAATAAATGACAAAACTAATAAAAATGATATCTTATGCCCACCATAAGATGAAAAATTTTAATATTTTCCATATATTCTTTACATTTTCAGTAAGCATTTTAGTTTTTTAGCTAAGTTATTAAAGTATAGCATACCTAAAGGAAAGCACATAAATCGTATGTGTAGAGCTCATTGAATTTTCACAAAGTGAAAAGACCCTTGTTACCAACACCCACATCAGGAAACAATATTATCAACAAAGCAGAAGGCTTCCCTCTGCATCTTTTCAGGCACTAAGCATGCCTAATAATTAGTTGGGCAAGACCTTTTATTGTTTCTATGCTATTTTAAACTTTTTATTGAGAAATTATTTCCAATTTTCAGAAAAGTCACAAAAATAAGAGAGAGTTCCCATAAAACTGTCCCCCAGCTTCCCTAATGTTCTCATTCTCCGTGACCGTCATAGTCATTATTCAAACCAGGAAATTAACATGGGTACAATACTGTGTGGTATGTAAACCGCAGACCTAATTAGAATCTCACTAGTGTTTCCACTACTGTGCTTTTTTCAAACCAGGATCCAATTCAAGATCCCAAATTGCATTTAGTTATGTCTCTTAATCTCTTCCAGTCTATAACAGTTCATTAGTCTTTGCCTGTCTTTTGTGATCTTGGCACTTCTGAAGAGTACTGGTCAGTTGTTTTATAGAATATCTCTTAATTTGAGATCACCTAATGTTTTCTCATTATTAGGTTGAGGTTAAGCATTTTGGGCATAAACACCACAGAAGTGATGTTGTGCCCTTTTCAGTTCATCATTACAGAAGGTATATGCCATCAGTGTGTTAAGCTTGATTAACTATTAGAAGGTGTCTTTAGGGTGTCTCCACCGTAACATTACAATTTTTCCCTTTGTATTTAATAAATAACTTCAGGGAGGTTATGAATATTTTCATAGTCTCAAAGAAAATATGGAAATATTCTGTTTCTCCTTAAACTGTCACCCACTGATTTTAGCATCCATCAGTGGATTTTGCCTGCAACAATTATTACCGAGGTGTTTGACCAATGGTGATTTTGTATTTCTTTCATTCCATCTACAATTATTATTGGAATTCTCCTGTAAGGAAGAGTTGACTCTTTCTTTTTGTCTTTCTGTCTCATTCTTTCTTCAATTTTTTTTACATAAATATGGACTCATCAATATTTATTTTATGTTATGGGTTACAATCCAAGACAATCATTATTTATTTTGTTGCTCAAACTTTTTCACCTTTAGCCATTTGGGGTCCCTTCATGTTGGCTCCTGTGTCCTTTCAACATCCCCCATCCTTTCTCAAACACTTCCTTACTTTCTGGCACCACAGGATTTTCCAGGCTCAGTTTGTATTTTTTTTTGCTTCAAGCCTAGAATCTATCACTTCTTCAAGGAGCCTTGGTTCCCTTTATTAGGGAATTGTATTTAGAAACCAAGATTTGGGAACTAAGCGTGCTCTTTGTTACTGGGGCATCAGTATTTCCAGGCTCACTCAGCAGACTATAAAATATATTTTTTATGTAAATAATTGTAAATTTATAAATATATGTATTATACAAATAAATTATATATATTTGCAAATATATATAATTCTTATACTAACTCATGCATACACACACATTTATGTCCGTTTGTCTCTTTTTCCCCTCTCCATATAGATATAATATAAATATACATTATATAGAGACATGGTATAAATATAGGTAGATATGATATAAATACATATTTATGGATAGATAGATATGATATATATATATGTATATGAAACCATGAGATTATACCAATGCTGCCAGTCACAATTCAACATCACAAAGTTAGTTGTAGCCTTCTCCCATTTCTTTTTTTGTTGTTGTTTTATTGAAGTCACATTGGTTTATAACATTATGTAAATTTCACGTTATGTTATTATATTTTAGCTTCTGTATAAAGTGCATTGTGTTCACTACCAAAAGTCTAGTTTCCATCTGTCACCATACATGTGTGCCTTTTACCATTTTTGCCCACCCCTTGCCCCCTTCCACTCTGGTAACCACCAATCTGTACTTCTTATCTAAGTGTTTGTTTGTTTATCTTCCACATATGGATGAAATCATACGGTGTTTGTCTTTATCTGTCTTACTTATTTCACTTAGCATAATACCCTCAAGGTCCATCCACATTGTCACAAATGGCACGATTTTGTCTTTTTTATGGCTGAATGGTATTCCATTGTGTATATATACCACATCTTCTTTATCCACTCATCAATTGCTGGGCACTTGGGTTGCTTCCAAGTCTTGGCTATTGTGAATAATACTAGGATGAACATTGGGGTGCATGTATCTCTTTGAATTAGTTTTTTCATGTTCTTTGGATAAATACCCAGAAGCGGAATAGCTGGATCCTATGGTATTTCTATTTTTAGCTTTTTGAGAAATATCCATACTGATTTCCACAGTGGTGAAATCAGTTTACATTCCAACCCACAGTGTATGAGAGTTCCATGTTCTCCACATCCCCTCCAATACTTGTTATTTCTAGTCTTTTGTAATTATACCCATTCTGATTGGTGTGAGGTAATAGCTCATTGTAGTTTTGATTTGCATTTCCTTAATAATTAGGGATGCTGAACATCTCTTCATGTTCCTGTTGGTCATCTGTATATCTTCTTTGGAAAATGATCTGTTTATCCTCTTCCAATTTTTTGATTTGGTTGTTCATTTTTTTGTTGTTGAGTTGTATGAGTTCTTTATATATTTTGGAAATCAACCCCTTGTCTGATATAGGATTTGTATATATATACTCCAAATTGTTAGGTTGTCTTTTCATTTTGTTGATGGTTTCCTGTGCTGTGCAGAAGATTTTTAGTTTGATGTAACCATCAACAAACTGAGAAGAAAACCTACCAACTGGGAGAAAATATTTCTTTATATTAACATTTTATTTATATTTTATTAATAAAATTATTTATAATTAACATATGTATTTATACATGTGTAACTATACATATTTAATAAATTTATACAATGTCATATGTCAAATATATTTCAATAAAAAAAGATAGTGGTGACTTCAGGTATTGTGTAGGATTTCTTTAGGATTATGATTAAATATAAATCAAAACTTGCTATTCACATCACAGATGCTGATTAAAACAAAAGGAGAGACTTTCAAAAAGAAAAATAAAATCAGCCAAAAAAACTCACAAGTTAGAAAGAAACCTAAACACTAGGGCTAGGACTTCACAGCAGAGACATTCTCTGGATCCATTTGGTCCTTTTCCTTCTTATTGATCTCAGGGACAAAGAACACAGGGACTCAGAATTGATGGGATAAGCCTTCTTAGAAGTCATGGAGTAGAGCCTCATATCCTGGGTTCCAAAACCAGACTGCCTGGACTGAAATCTGGTCCACAGTTTACCTATGGGGATGAGCTGCTCCAGTCTTCTGTTTCTTGGTTTCCACATGTGTAGACTAGGACTATAATAGAATAGTGTTTTTGAAGGTCAAATTAGACAATACATTTAATGAGCTAGAGCTGTTTG